CATCATACGCTGTGATTCGACATGAGTTAGGCTCTGCATGAATGAGTGTGGTAATTAGTAATATGTCTTCATGAGAGGACGCGATGTTAATCGATTTGAAGAAACGTTTCATTCATATTTAATGATGTTATTGACGATAGAGAAATTAACAAAGACCGTAGGATCATTTCTAAGTCTGGTGCAATGCAAATTAATAATATTTACAAATTATGCTTAATTATATTTTTGCTAGAAATATTGTAGGGTTTCCATTTACGGAATTGATTTGGCTAACGTGAATGACACGCTACTATTCCAAAATGAAGCGCCTATTTCCGCCCAGACCTCGAAGCTTAAAATAAAGTCTCCTTCTGGAACTCTTACTCTTTGACCTTGACTTGTAGAGGACTATGGGCGCTGGTGCATCAATTGCCACGGAGAGTAGATTGACGAAGAAGACTAAACCCACTCAAAGACATCAAGTAGAAGACAAAGTTACTACGAGACTATCGAACGATGGTCGCAACGACTCCACTAAAGTGCCCACTTCAATCGATGCCCGTATCGTTGCTACACTGCGTCTGCTCAATTTAACAAGACGTGCAGATCCAAAGAGAAACCAAAATACGCATTTTGAGCGCATCGTCCTTCAATTTGCTTTGGTGCGAGAAGCTTTTTCCGCTCTTCGCAGCATTTATCAACAACTTGCCAGCGTGAGTTTATCTGGAATTTTCCATTTACTCTACTTCATTTTGATTCAATTTAACTCTTACAGACTGACAAAGATGGACTTGACTTTGAGGGACTCAAAATGGCACTCATTGCTTTAGGAATTCACATTAACGAATACGATTTGACTGAGATCTTTTACGAGTCGGACATGGTACGAGACAACTCGCTTAGCCAGAACGAATTTGTTGTCTCACTGGCCATCGCGCACTTGTTGGGGCTTATTACAATTTGCGACACCAAAAAAGGAGTGTTAGGGAATACTTCCGATGACGTTTCTGTACCTACTACAACGATTGAGCAGCAAGCTGATCAAAGAGAAGTGTCGAAACTAATCAATAAAGCACTGGATTTGATGGTGAGTGCGTACTTGCTCTTCGATCATGATGCCAGTGGCACTATTCAGACATGTGAGGTACTCGATCAAATGCGTCAAAATGTTACAGGCTGTAACTCCCCTCGGCGTCTTGAGCGCATTAATAGTGGCTACACGTCGAAGGTCATACATGAAGAGCGCCTGAAAGAGCTGGATTTTGATCAAGACGGTACCATTACTTTCCAGGAATTTGTTCTTACTTTTCAGCGATGGGCTGGCTCAGATGATGAAGAAGAATGAGCTCACTGTCACTGCAAAGTAACAGAAGCATGAGACGCTACCATAGATACACGCTTACTCAGTTTCTGTATTGTAAATTCTCAATTCAAACAGAAGTAATTATACCAAAACGTCACCTAGCTGACATCGACAAAAATTGCCTTTTACCACGATGTCGATTTATCACGTTAGTGACGTTTGGTTCTTGCCACCTTATCGGTATCTGGCTTGCTGACGCTTGAAGTGATTGTGAGTTTTCGCGGCGCGTTCCAATAACAAATTGAAGATGTAAGGCCACCAGAAATTCGTCGTACGGTCATAAACGGAGTAAATAAAACAATAGACAACCCAGATAAAGTACACTGCAAAGGTAGACGCAAATTAACATTGCTCTAAAGTTAGCTCAGTCAAGTGTGAAAAGCTCGAAAGGCCCGTACATGGAAAGAAAAGCATCATGACGACAGGCAACAGAACACACGACGAAATAATGCCTAACCACAGTCTTACGACTGCTCCTATGGAAGACTAAAAAGTCAACAAGCAATTGAATTAGCAACAATCATCGCCCCAGCCATAAGAAAGCGTTTCTTACCGAAACATCCATCTCTATACTTGTCTTTGCTTCAGGAAATTGCTGATGCTCAATAAAGTAACTCAATCGCTCTTCTTTCTCCTTCCAGCGGGCGTCTAAGAATCCTTGAATATCCTTTACTACGTCCTCATAATGAAATCTCTGTGAATGCAAAGCTACTCGTCCCAGTGGCTGTTTCCCTGCAAGCAGTGTCTTCATCGACGGCACTTCCGTGTCAACTTTACGTCCATATCCCATTTCAAACGTCGGCACTTCGCCTGAATAGGATGGAAAAGCCAATGTAAGGTCATAGATATCGGGCTTGGCCTCTACCACAGCGTCCAGAATGATCTGCATGCCTGTGATACGTGGCAACAGCACTCTCTTCATTTTCGGGCGATTCTCGCGAGCTGCAAAATTTTGCGATTTGGTGACATACTCATCGTGGATAGTCGTTCCTTCGGGAAACACTACGAGCCAGAAGGGAAATTTATCAGCAATGAGTCCATCCATGTATTTCTTTATGTGCTCGGCGTCCTCATCGATACGGCGCCGTAAGAAAAGGAACTCAAATAAGCGCATACCCCAGCCGATAATCGGCAGGTATTTGAGCTGGTCCTTAAGTACAATTTTGATGTTGCCTGCTGCCTTTTGATAGCGCGCAGCTTGCCAAATATACCACCAGTCCGCATCCACTTGATGGTTTGCAATGAGAATAACAGGCTTGGACGGGTCCGATGGAAACTCACCCGAGACAGAAAGCTTGGTCTCTGGAAAGCTCGTGGACGTCACATCTACCCAAAGTGACTGTGCAATAGAGCTATCAAAACAGAGTGATTGTCATCATTAGGTGTCGAGATAGTGAACGCAAGAGCTCGGACGCACCCCATAAGTCGACGGTAGAGCGGCTTGTCAAATGGCCGCACAAGGCACCAGAGACAAAACTGGAGGAAGTTGATGCATGCACTATTGCATAGGATCCACAACAGATTGAGCGCCGAGTAAAGGTGAAATACCGCCATTGTCGCACTTGAGAATGCGGAAGTGCCAAGGAGAGTATCTAAGCAATGCTGAAATGCATTTGATAGGTGGAAAACAAGGTTAACTAGGGCAAAAAATCAGAAATAGGTATACTATTTACGATGAAAAAATTCAGCACACGCTAAAAAAAGCAAAAGGTCTTGAAAAAATGTGATAAAGACAACTTTGCTGTTCATTTTCTGCCTACACTGACCACATATAATTGATCCAATAGGTATGAAAGTTCTCGATAACTATGCCGTGACTGCAAAAGTGTGGTAATAGATAAGGCAGCTATGTGTAGTGAGCCTCGACAATTAAGAGAAAATGACAATGTTTAAGCTGCGCTACCGAATCACCAATGTCGCTTAAACCCTATACGGCAAGTCGGATAGCATTGTTTCGTAACTCAGCCTGTTTGACTCATGGTCCTTGCATCTTGTATGCTTGCGCCGCTTCTAGCTTGTAAGCCTTCACTTGCCTCAAGTCGGTGGACAACAATCCAAGTTCGTACTGTCCGAGTAGAGCTTCTCTTTTAGATCTCCTTTCAGTTTGTCGCGCCTTGACCACCCCTCCCTCATAAATTCTTTCCGTTGGGCAAATCGCCATGCCCGCCAATTGTTCATTTGATTTTAAGAGGCCACTTCCGGGTGCCACTTAGTCTGTCGACATCTTCTGAGTGACAATGAACATTGCAATCACGATGGCTCAAAATCGTGAGGACCGCAGTCAAGTTGCCCTTCCCTGTCACATTTGGATGGCCGTGAGAAAGATTGGGCGATGAAACCACCCTGGCTACTTTGCCACATGGCAAAAACTGAAAAAGGCTATGGAATCGATGTTCCTTCCACCGAATGTAGCATTTCAACAACGGTCGAAGTTTTTGCCATGCCGCCAAAACAATGGCACATTGTACGATTATGTACAGAAGCTCTGTGAGTTCGTGCCAGTATGGCAATTGTACCTGCCAGTGGCAGTAAGAATCACCATGTTTATGGAGGGATTCCTCCTCAGACTGAAGATTTCCGTCAGAGCCCGAAGACTTTAGAAGGTGCATTGCACTACTGTCAGGTCAACATGTGGGCAATAGGACAACCCGTTGGAAGCAGTGACTGCTGCTACCGGAAATCTAAAGCCAATGGATTTGGCGCTTTAACTGTCCGTAGGCAGCAAGTTCGCATGTCACTCATTCTGTCACATCCGACCTAATTATTCACTTGAGAGATGAACCTCCCAATACAATTCTCGTCGTAATGGTCCCGAGACACGTGGTATCAATACCATGAGGCGTTCAGGAGCGCCAGAATTTAGTAGATGCACGGCGGTCCACTGGGGCAGTTATAAGCTTTTGTGAGTGTGGAGGTAGAGCCACTCATTAGGGTTGAGCCCTTAGAGTATCGTTGTCCTTCACTAACGACACGTGTAACGGGGTTACACGTACCCTTGTGAGGAAGGTCGGGTCACACACAAGATGGTGTGAGTAGATGTGTATTACACAAGTTGGTGTAATCGCACAATAGTGTGGCTACACCATAACAAGAAGCCACTACGTGGCAGGACTGCCAGTAGTTATGCGTTTTACTATTTAATCAGGAAAGCCTAAGGTTTTGGATATAGGCGGCTTTCCGTAACTAAAACAATTATATACCGTTTTAATTTTGAGTGTAAGAGCGTCATTACCTTGGTTAAGGTTTCAAGTACTTAGAAGTAGCGGATTGCGATCCGCTACACTAGTACCGGATCTTGGAAAGAACGTAAGGTCGGTGGCCTTAGCTGAGCATCCTCTATACGGCAGCTTCGCTGCACTTAGTAGCACTCGTAGTTAATCTACGCCTGGATCGTTACGACTGATCCGTTGAGATGATGAAGGAATACTCCTATTTGCCCTAGGGTATGCAGGACTGGCTTAATAAGCTGATGTCCCTGCTGTGCCCTGACGGCGTGGAGTACCACGTTGCACAAGGGCCCGAGGTCATAAGCGCGCGCCTAGAAGTGTTTTCAAGTTATGAAAATGCTGTTAGAGCACTTACCGTAGAAGATGTCAGCGTCGACTGCGTTAATGACGTCACCGTCGACGACGGATGATTCCATCCAGGTCAGGCCGCTCATTGTGAGTGTTGAAACGTTCGAGGATAAGGATGGAGATAATCTCCTGCTTTGAATGAGAGAGACCGATATGGCTATGGCACCCGCCTTGCTCCAAAACGAGCAACAGCGCGTGGCACTAGCTATCCAAACTCGAGGGCCGAGCGCGAGAATGGGCACTGACGTACGGCACTTCAGTTGAAGTGGAGTTCTCCACTTGGAAGGAGCTAAAGCATCAGCTTCTGTGAGTGTTCTCGCCGCTTAATCAGGGATATCGCGTGAGATCGCGTTTCTTTGTCGCCCGACATGGCAAAAAGGAGTTGGTGGACTTTCTTCAAGAGCTGAGAACTCTCATTGCCAGGATGACAGCAGATCCATTCCCCGAGGCCGTTTTTATGGACGGCTCCCGCACTGGCCTGGTCAGATTGGAAGTCTTCCCTGTGCATCCGTCTTCTTTTGTAGAAGCAGTGAATGTGGCATTGATTGCCATATTCAACTTCAAGTCGGCACGACTTGGTTGGATAAAACACCCTCCGAGCTCGGCTAGCGAGCCTGAGCTAATATATCTTAGCTATGCTGAGAAAGAGGAGGGAGAGCTCCGAGCTGCTGAGCATGTAAACACCCGACAGTGTTTTATTAGTGGAGACACTCGTCATCTTCGGACGGGTTGTCCCTTGCGCATGGCGCGTAAAGGATCGTCGAACGACGTTCCGTATCTAGCTAGTCTGGTTTGTTTCGGGGAAACAAAAAGAGTCAATAGGCGCGGGGCGCCCTTCTGGGGGGAGAACTGATTTCTCTTGTGCCTCAAGTAGAAGAGGGCAGCAGCGCCCAGCCCCGAAGAGCTTCGTACTCTTGATCACGAAAAGTGAGTGTTAGCTGGGCTTGTTGGTCGAAAAAGCGACCGTGAAAGGCCCTGAAAGGCCATGGAAGACCCTTACCGATTCCGGGGTGTCGGGCAATTATGCTCGACGCTCCGCGATCAAAGGAACTCAGCTGTATGCTGAGGCGCTAAAAGCGCAGTTGGGTGACATGGTCACTGTTCGCCTAGCGACGGGGACACGTGTAACGGTCCCTGTGGACCTCGGAGATAAGTTCCTTGACTATGATAGCGTGGAACGCTGTCTAGTCTTACACTTGGATGCAAGGTATGACCTCATCCTTGGTATGGCATGGTTGACACACCATGGACCATGGATTGATTGGAGGTCGAAGACCTTGGGCGCTACGCGCACGTTTCCAAGTGTAGCTTGGGTGCGTCATGAATTCGCCTCTGCTAGGAAGCAGAAGCACTATTGGCGCGGGCACTAGACCGGGACGGTCAATGTGCTGGATATCGGAGTATCCGAGTTATCAAATACCGAAGGTGTATTGGACAAGAGTCCCGAGCATGGCTCGCGGGTTGAACGTTGAGTGACTCGTAACCCACTGTGCGCTGTTCACGTTACAAAGCAGTTGCTGCGTGCCAAAAATGGCATGATCGGACGTGGTCCGAGGCATCAAGGGCGAGGATTTTGTGATGAGTGTGGAGTGGCACGAAATCCACTGAGTGCTGCTCACGTTTTGTAGCAGTTACTGCATGCCAAGCATGGCATGGTCGGATGAGGTCCAAGGCATCCTAGGCAAGCCCTTCTGATGCGCATGAAAAGGCACGTTACCCACTGCGGAAATAGCAGCTCTTCGTCGGATGTTGTAAATAACATCAAGGCTCGGATGGAGCAATGAGTGGGGACACTGGACGACGCCGGGTGCGTCTTCCGTCTAGACGTAAACCCGTTTTAAAAAAAGGAGACGGCAAAGCCGGATGTTGTCTGCAAGACGCAGGGCGTCGATCTTGACACAGCGTGTGTCTACCGTAGACACTAGGTCACACCTATATACCCTTGTCAGCGGTATGATGAAAGCAAAAGACGGCGACATCACCCTCGAGATTATTTTCGCGGTGGATATTTTTCTTGAGCTGGATGAGATGTCCTTCAAATAGTTAAGCGGTGCTTGAAGGCAGGCAATTTAGCCGATGTGGTCATTATTTGACCGAACGAGGAGATTCACTCGTCGTCGCTTCTGGATGAAGCTGTCCTGAAGAACTCTAAGAGGGTGCTGAACGCTCGAAGTGGATCGTCAATCCAGAAGGATCCTTCGAATCCGTATTTTACTTTGGTACAGGAATTTCAAGACGTCGTCTCGGTCCAACCTCCGGACCGAGGTGTGCGGCATTAGATTGATTTGGTTCCGGGAACCAAATACTGCGTAACACGCCAATGACCCTTCCCAAGGAGCAGTGTGACGTCATTGACGCCTTTTTTCGCGAAGCATGAGGCAGGAATGATGCATGAGAGCAGGCCTCGCCATTCGGCGCCCACTTTTGTGTTTAGAAGCCTAACGGCAAGTGGCGTATCGCTCATGCTTATAATAAGCTGAAAGCTTCCAAATTCCGGCAAAGACGCCAATTTCTGGAACGAATGTTCTCCAAAACAATATGGTTGGCTGTACAAAGTACAGCGCACTCGACTTTATTGATGGATATTACCAATTGCTCATGAGAGCAAGAGATATTGTGCTGACAGCGGTATGTACTCCGAGCGGGATGATCTGGGAGTGGTTGGTGATGCCCAAGGGCTATCAAATACACCGGCAACATTTATCGTCTTAGGACGCAATTGTTCAGGCCCACCGAGCGTATACACAGACAAACTTCGACGACATCTTCGTTCACAGTCGTGCGGTGAAAAGGAGCAGAGATGTGGAAGACCACATCGTCCATTATAGAACGGTGCCGAGAGCATGCGCACTAATACGCTGTATGCTAATTTTGATAAGTGCATCTTCGGTGCGGACGAAATTTATTTCTTAGGGTGATCTATTTGGAAGCGTGACCATCGAGCGGATTCCTTAGGTGGCCATTGTGGACTGGCCAGTT